TTGGACGATACCATTTGAATGTTGAGGGGGTGTCAAGACGATGACTGTCTCATTATTTCGCTTTTTTATTAAAATAAAAATAATTAATTAAGTAAATATCTTAATAAATATTAAATTAAGATAATAAATGAAAGTGATCGCTAACATCATCATCAACATTTACATCAAATCATCATCTATATCACCACCATCATCAACAAAATTTTGGACGATGCCATTCGATTGTTAAGGGGGTAACAGGATTGACACCTTTCCGTTAAACGCGGAATTAATTCGTTTCTTTTCTCATCATTAAATTACAATTTAACTAAATGACTATGCGGTTATAAATTATATTGCAAAAGTATTTATTCGTCAGAATCATCACCACCACCACCATCATCATCATTACCGTCACCATCATCGTCATCATCACCATCATCCTCACTAACTCCAATGAAGCCACTATCGATGACGTCATCGCCGTAACCACCGGAAACAGTATTCACATTAAGATCAGTAGTAGTAGTAGTAGTAGCAGCAGTAGTGGTGGTAGTAATAGTAGTAGTAGTAGTAGTATTTGTGGTTGTTGATGTATTTAGTTGATTGCTAATGTTGTTGGCGATGTTTAGTTGTTTGATGAGTGGCTCTGGCATGATGATGATCTCGCTATTTTTTAAGTAAGTTTTTCGCCTGATGGTGGAGATGATGATGATGGTGGTGGGGATGGTGATGGTGATGATGTTGATGACGATGATGACGATGATAATGATGATGATGATGATACGATGATGCTTTTGAATATGATAGTTAGTTATCATTCACGTTTTTATCACCCTCACCATCATCATCTTCATCCTCATCGTCGTCGTCGTCGTTGTCGTTAAAATCAAGGCAAAGTTCATCATCACAATCATCATCATCACAAATATCATCATCATCACCTCATCTTTGATAACATTACCATTTTTCAATTTCAAAGGCCCTTCTTTCCAGCCAATCATATTCATCGGAAAGTGGGCCATCCCCGGCTGCTGCAACATGATTGGTCGATGCCGTATGCAAATTAGGTGTGGACTCTACCGAAATAAATGTTAAGTTAGTGAAGCTGGAGTGAAACTTAAATGTGTTAGTTGAAATTAAACTTGAAAAAATATTTTCTTTTCACAGTGAATATAAGCAACAGTGACGGTGTTGTGGTCAAGGTGGTGTGTGTGTGCGTGTGTGGTGTGTGTGTGCGTGCGTATGTGTGCGTGCGTATGTGTGCGTGTGTGTGTGTAGAAAAAAACCCTTACTCATCAGCCCTGCGCCAGACAAAGACCTTAGATTACCCTTATGGGAGGGCACCGTAGAATAGCCCCACTCCCCTTCACCACCCCCTCTAACGCCCCCATCGTAATAATCGTTACCATAACCGTCGTCGAGATTTCTGAAGTTCGGGATATTCCTCCGCAAAACTTCCAGCTTCCTCCTTCTCTCGTTCAGCCTTGCATATGTTTCGCTTAACATTTCGTCATCGTCTGCTGGTTATTATTATTAATGTTATTAATGTTGTTATTATTATTATTGTTTTTTTTATTGTTATTATTATTGTTGTTGTTGTTGTTGTTGTTGTTATTTTATCCTAGCAAAAGAAATTACGAACTTAACACTGGCAACTGATCGAGGTAATAGCTTGATTGGTGTCTGACATTATCAACATTACGCCCCATTGCCGATGTATTTTGGCTCCTCCCACCTATCTTAACCCCGCCCTCATTAGCATAGACTACGTCGCTGTAGTCGTCGTGGGGGTTTTTGATTGGTCGAAAATTTGTAAGGCCCAGATTGGACAGATTATCTGAGCTGTGGTAGTGTGACCTGGTTTTCGAGTTTTCTATTGGTCGGCCAATTCGGTCTGGTTCCAGCAGTATGTAGTGGACTTTTGTTTGAGAATAAAAATTCATCATTATTATGATGATTCATCGTCATCATCACCATCATCGTCATCATCACTAACTAGCATTGGTGTCGTTGGTGACCTTTGACCTCCAAGATGATGACAAGATACTATCATTTCTTGACTTAATAAATTCATTGGAGAGAGAGTGATGAGATTGGGTGAGAGGATGCTGATGATGCTGATGGCGAGAGGGAGAACGAGTGAGATAGTGATGATGATTATTGTGATGGATGTCACCAGTTGGTTGTCCCCTCGCGGACCGAATTAAATTCAACTAAAAAATTATGAAACAGTGCCATTCTAATTGGGTTAAACAGCTTTTAATCATGGATTTTTTTAAATTACCTCACACACACACACACACATACACACACACACACACACATGCACACACACACACACACACATACGTTTTCGCTTCCTAGGACCATGGAATACAAATCCAATAAGGTTGACATCGTGGATGAGTTGTGTCGGCAGGCCTGACGGTGGTTGGGTGGAAGAAAGTTTTTGGATGATTGACTGATTGGATGGTTGATTGATTGAGAAATTGAGGGATTGTTTAATTGAATGAAAGATTGACTAAAAATGATTGAAAAAATGATAGAAGATCATGATCATCATTATCACCATCATCACCACCACCAATTCCACCACTACCACCATCACCATCATCACCACCACCATCACCACCACCACCATCATCATCATAACCTGCTGAGCGTCCAGTAAAGTCATCCTCATCGTGGCATCTCTGGTGCACATGTGGTTCAGTACCCTATCCAGAGTGCAGCTTATATCCAATTCCTTCATTACGAGGGGAAATTAATTTTAAAAAATAATTAATTAAGCAATTAAAACAGGTTTTTTAATGCAGTACGGGTCTTTTGAGTTTTTTTTTGATTATTTAGTCTTCACCAAATTAATGTCGGTGCTGTAGAGAGCGAGTTCGAACGCAAGCAGATCCCTGAATTTCATATGTGGTATTTCGTGCATACAAAAACATGAGTTACATATTAAGATACTCGAAAAACGCCGTTAAACCTTAAATAAAGCTGAATGTAAATTTACTGTTTAATAGAACAATTGAAATAAAATGCGCTATATAAATTGATTGAAACATAAACAAACAACAAATGACGTCACGAAACGTAGCGGACACACGCACACACACACACACACACACACACACACACACGTACACACACACACACACACACACACACGTACACACACACACACACATCTAACTTGATCTTGAGATAGATTGTAATCGGCTGCCAAATAAACAGACATTGCCATTGAATATACGTATATCTAGAGACATTTTTTAATTATTCTAATTAAAATTATTCCATGCTAAAAATTATTCATAATTATTTCTCATGAATAATTATTATATATAATCCATTCCCAAATAATTATTCAGAAATAATTATCTCGGAAAAAGTATTTCTTGCGAAGCGAACCTTCTCAAGCTCATCAGGCGTGAATAAAATTTTATCCAGTAACTCAGCCGGCATGCACTCCTCATAGAAGGTTGAAAACTTCTGAGCCGTCATCAGTTCGACGTGTCCATTGGGACATAGCAGGATAGAATCCGGAGTTATTGGGAGTAAGGTGGTGGCGAGTTCTTCAACATCGCCTAGTTTGTTTTTGGTTATTTTTTCTATAAAAATTTGAAGCTTAAAACCTAAATTTTAAATTAAAAAAGATGAAAAGCAGCAAGGGAAACCGTTATAAAAAATTGAAGAAACGCATTGCAACGTCCCACACAGAACCGCCCACAATTCCTTTTCCGTCAAGGGTCTTCCTTTGACCTCCAGGCACTCTGCTAATGTCACCTCGTGTTGGGGGTACATCTCTGTTCTCTGTAGATTGTTGTATTTGCAGTGGTAGCAGTAGTAGAAGCAGCAGTTGCAAAGTTAGCTACAGCCGCAACAGTAGTAGTGGCAATTGTAGTAACATTAGTAATAGTAATAGTAGTACGGCGTTGTCGTCGTCGTAGTAGTAGTAGTGGTAGTAGTGGTAGTTGTAGTAGCAGTAGTAGCAGTATTAGTAGTAGTGGTAATAGTAGTAATAGTAGTAGTAGTAGTTGGGGTAGTAGTAGTAGTGGTAGTAATAGTAGTAGTGTTAGTAGTAGTAGTAGTGATGGTAGTAGTAGTAGTGGTAGTTACTAGTTTTACTACTTAGATTCAATTCGTAAGTATTGTTGAATACTTTGACATTCTAAATTGAACTTTTTATGGTGTATATTTCAACTTTCCATTTTTTCTTAAACACAAACAACAACTATATATACCAAACATTTTTGTGTTATAAGATAATCAATTCGATTATCGTGAAAATAAATCAAAAAATGTTTAAATCTAAATTAAAGAATTAAGTAACTAATTGGGATTAAATCACGTAATTAAATAAAAAAATATTGAAAAAGTGTTAAAAGGATTAATATCTAACTTGTAGCGTTCAGTGAATTTATATGATTAAAAAAAGGTTATTTCAAATTAAAATCATTCAATTTAAAAATTAATTAACTCAAGATTGGCTAATTAGAGAACAATTATTTCAATTAAAATCGACGTCATTTAATTAGAGAAAAAATTAATTCAATTAAAACCAGAATCATCTACAAACACTTATACACAACACATAACAATAAAACAAGTGCAACACGTGTTATACAACACAATCCTCATCTGTGTACAACCAACCAATCAATTAATTGATCGATACACCTGTATTGTGTGTATGTATACAACATCCATACAAACATATGTATATACGGTGTGTATAAAATTGTATGTAAATTGTATTTGTACATAATTCATACAAATATATGTATAAAATGTATGCTTGTACCTTGTATATACAAGTGTATGCATATACTGTATGCAAATTCGTATCAACAAAATGTGTTTATACCAGAGTATAAACAGAAACACGTCTATATACAATATGTATACATGATTATGTATATACGTATGTGTATATATACCGAATGTGTTTGTATTGAAAAAAAATAAAAAAATGAATAAAAATTGGAAGAAAAAAGATGTTTTTTAGACATTCAAGGATTTCAAGCTTCTTTGTTCGGACAGATTTCTCTGGAGAATATTTTTTAATAATTTTTTTTTATTAATTAAAATTATAAATAATAGCTTTCAATTGATTATTAATTTATTTAAATAATTAATAAAAAAAAACAATAATCAATCAATCAGTCAGTCAATCAGTCAATCAATCAGTCAATCGACCGGTCGGTCTGTCAGTCAGTCAGTCAATCAATCAATCAATTTTTCTATTCTAATTAGTTTCTAGATTGAAAGTGTTTCTTTATAATCGAATCCAATCACAACCGCACTGCCAAGACACTCTACCTCTACACTATCAACTTAATAAATAGAAATAACTTTAAATTTGAAGTTGGAAGCACGCTGGTGTCGCGACCTCTCTAGCTTCTCTTTAGATACGACCAGCGACTCTCTTAAGCATTGAATTTCATCTTTCTTCTTTAACAAGTCGCTCTGAATGAATGGAAGAATGAATGAATGAATGGATGAATGAGTGGGTGAATGGGTGGATGAATGATTAGATGAATAAGCGAGTGGATGAGTGAGTGAATGGATGAGTAAATGGATGGATGAGTGAGTAGGTGAATGGATGAATGAATGGCTAAATTGTTCGATGAATTGATAAGTGGATAGATGTGTTCTTGGATAGAATTGATGAATGAATTGATATGTGAATGAAAAAATGAATGATTAGATAATTGGACGGATAGATAAACGCTAAGGCGAACTACTATTACTGCTAACTACAACGACTTCTACTACTACTAATAATAATAGTGACAACAACATTAATTCTACAAACAACAAAAATAACAAAAACATTCTCTAGCCGATAAGAGATTTAGATTCTCGTTCAGCCTTTCATTGTATATTTCTGCCGATCTATAGCAAAAAAAATTACTAAATTAACAATTGATAAAAATGAGTTAGTGAATGGTGAATGAATGAATGAATGAGTGAATGAATGAATGAATGAATGAATGAATGAATGAATGAATGAATGAATGAATGAATGAATGAATGAATGAATGAATGAATGAATGAATGACAAAATGCATGAATAAACAAACAAACAAATGAACAAGCGAACAAAAAATGAACATATCAATGAACTAATAAACAAACAGACAAACAAAATTTCAACTAAAATATGAATAAATTTCGATCGAATTAATCACTAATCCGACCTTAATCTACACAAATCCTGATCATAACCATTCAATTGATGATTTTTATCTAGAATAATCTCTTTCAGTCTGATAATCCTGTCGACAAAATCGTTACAGATGATCTTTCTGGTTTGTATCAAGTTGTTTAGATTCTCTCGCGGTATTTGAAGTATAGATACGGAAGGGAAGCTATTATCATAGTTTAGAATATTGGCTATGCTTCTCTGAAGCTCTAGATACTGTTTGTTTGTTTGTTTGTGTGTGAGTGTGGTTATTTGTTTGTGTGTGCGGTTGTTTGTTTGTGTGCGTGCGTGTGATGTATGTATGTATGTGTGTGTGTTTAATTGTAGAATGCTTATGTGAGTTTGTATGAAATCAACAAATGAAATCAACAAATTTATTAATCAATCAATAAACCAATCAAAACTAACCAGCCAATCAACCAAGCAACTAGCCAATCAACCAACCAACCGACCAACCGACCGACCGACCAATCAACCAAAACCAACCAACTACAACCAACCAACCGACCGGCCAACCAACATACCGCATCTTCACTAATCTCAATCAAGTCACTCAACTCCTTCATAGCGAATAAATGACTAGCTCTAACGTCATCGGCATTCATGACGTAACTTCCGTCAAACAAATTATCAACCTTCACTTTAGCTAGATGTACAGACCTCAACTCTTCCAACTCTCTCCTCAAATAAGCCACTTGCTGCAGAGCTTCATCCTTCGACAGTACTGTTTCATATTTAATTATAATTGATATAATTAAATTAATTATAATAATATAAATAATTATAATTTATATTATCGGAAGAGAGAAGAACGACAACTAATATACGATGTGCGTGTGTGTCTGTGCGTGCGTGCGTGTGCGTGCGTGCGTGTATGTGTGTTTGTCGTTGATACCTCTGAAAATCAAAAAGAGGATTAATAGCAATAATAATAGTGGTAACGAAGATTGAATATTTATCAATTTAGTCATAATTTATGAAAAATTACATATCTAATTTTCAAAAATTGAATCTATAATTTTCAAAAATTATAAAAAAATTATAAACCAACACGGGTTATCGCCACATTCGAGGGCTTTTAACTTTGCCCTGAGTTGGACCAGGGCATTTTGCTGCCTCTTTATCACGAGTTCGTGTTGTTCGCGTGAGCAGATATGCCCTTGGGAATTCAATCCAGCCAGTTTTGTTGGGCTCTATATAAATGTTGATGGTGGGGATGGCTATGGTGAGGAATTTGATGATGAAGATGCCGATGTCGATGATGATGTTGATGATGATTGTTGTTGTTGGTGACGATGATGATGATTATGATGGTAGTTACAATGGTGGTAATGATGATGATGTCAGTGACGACAGTGGCGTCAGCTAAACTCACCAAAGATCTATCGAGAATCGCCAGTTGTTTCTGCGACGACCTCAGTGGCAGTGTCGTCGAAAGCTGGATGACGTCATCATCGCCGCCATTTTTTATATTCTCAATCAGGTCCATCTTTTTCTCGACTTTTCGCAAAATTTTTTCATTTGTCGCCATCTCTCTCTCGTGGGAGCTGATGATGAGAGGGAGCACAAAACAATTCAACGAACAAGAACAAAATAGAAATACAACATCACAACCAAAATTCAACTCCGTTAAATTTTTGGAATAAAGAACTGCTAACAAACCAAATTTTTTCAGAAAGTACTTGAACTTCCTCTTGCAGCTGCTTCTCGCTGCTTTTGCTGATCTCAAGCTGCTCTTCAGCTGTTTTCAGCTGCTTTTCAGCTGCTCTCAGCTGTTCTTTTTGGTTCTCTATTATTCTAGAATGTTCTTCCATAATTTGTTTTTGCTCTTCTGATAAAAAACCTACAAATAAATAATATTCATCTAAAATATTTTATCCAAACTATCATTACATTTTGTCGTTTATATGACAATAAGATTATAAAAAAATGTTGGCATCAAAATGGTGTAATGGTAAAGGTGCCTGGCATTGCTTTTGTAGTGGTTGGGTTCGACTGCGAAGAGATTCTCGTGCGATTGTTGCTGATGCATTTGAAAATAATAAATTTAAAATTGTAAGAAAAGAAAATTGAAGAAATTTTGTGTTAACCAGATGAATCTGTGAGCCTGATATAAGCGGAGTTCAATTCAGTCTTCAAATCTCCAATGACGACCTCAAAATCGTCGACTCTTTTCGCGTACTTCAAATTTTCTTTCTTCAATTTCTGAAGTTGCAGTTGAAGTTTCGCGTTCTCTTCCAACGATTCCTGCACATCGGACGACTGCTTCATCTTCATAACTGCAGTTTTATGAACATCAAAGTAAAATTCAACAATCACAAACGTAAATTAATAAATGTGTTTGTGCGTCGGCAGGTTTATGTGTGTGTGTGTATGTGTGTGTTTATGTGTTTGAAAAATTATACTAAGACAGTCATAAATATGAAAAAAATTAATTATTATTTAATAAATGAAAAAATTCAACAATTCCAAAATTATCTTTAGAACCGTGTAGAAATTATTTTTTTAAAAATTTCGAGAACCGTCTAAAAAATTTTGGAGGACTGTTTTCTCAGCAGCTAGCGACTTTAGCTCATCTTCAAGCTGCCTCTGCTTCTCCTCCATGCTACAGATGGTCACCGAGTGCTGTATGACCTGGTCTTTATATTCTTTCAGAGTCAGTTCAAAGGTCAAGGTCGAAGTTTCGTGGTCGTCTCTGGACTCTTTGAGACGTTCTGCTAATGTTTGGATCTCTTGTTTCTGATTGTCCTGAAGATGATGTCATTGAATGAATGAATGAATGAATGAACGAACAAATGAATGAATGAATGAACGAATGAATGAATGATCGAACGAACGAACGAACGAATGAATGAATGAACGAATGAATAAATGTAAAGATGATTTTTCCACGTTTTTTTCCATTCAACAGAGAGAATTCTACAGAGAAAAAATACTTACAATGATGCCTTCGTGATTCTCCTTCATTTCTCTGATCGTTTCCTCATTCGTTTCTAGCATTGAACGCTGAGATTCTTTCAAATCTTCGATCTCCTGTTTTGAAAAAAAAATCAATTTGTAACTCAACATGATCGATGAATTAGCTCAAACGATAGGAGTGCGGTATCTCGTGTTGCTTTGACCAGGTTCGAATGCTGTCTGTCCAGAACTCGAAGACTATCACACACGATTTGTGTGTGTAAGACGCGGTGCTTGCGAGTGGCGTGTGGTTCGTCGTGTGGTGTGTGTGGTACGCGTCGTGTGGTGTTGGAAGTCATGGAGAAGAATGTTTGACTGTAGGAATTTTTATCTAAGCAGTTTTGCATAATAAAAAAACAAATAATAATAATAAAAGTAAAATGAATAGTAAGAAGAAAAGAATAATTTCATTTCTTACCTTCAGAAGGTTTTTTATTTCCTCGCCAGAACCCACTTTCAACGTGTTCATTTCTTCTAAAACATCTAAATATTTCTTCCTCTCGTCGTCCATCTCAGATTCCAGCGCGCCAATTTTATTTTGGTCTACATCGCCAATTATCATCATAATCATTAGAATAATTATTGTATTACAAATAATAATAATTATTATTATATTTCAAATGATAATAATTATTATTATATTACAATAATTATTATTATATTACAAATAATAATAATTATTATTATATTACAAATAATAATGATTATTATTATAATCAGATGAACTTATGAACTAACAATGTTGAATATCCGACTCACAATGGGCCTTAGCACGTTCAATGTTCCTCTCTAATGTAGAAACTTGTTGGCGTTTTGATGTTAATTCGTCGTTAATGTTTTGGATGTAACTCATAAGACCTGTGCATTACGATGGCAACACATGCAATGTCATGTCTGTCACGTACACACAACACGTACACAACAATACACACACACACACATACAGTCCATACACACACACACACACACATTCATTAAATAATGAATAATTGTAAATATCGATGTTAATTAAAAAAAATAATTAATAATTCGTCGAAAGATTTTAATTTAAAACTTTCAAACTTAAAAAGAATCACCATCTTTTGACTCAAAGATGACTCCAGAACTCCCATTCAGCAGAGCCGTCTCAATCTCGGACTGCCATCCAACGCAGAAATCGAATAACTTACTGATAGCTGCCAGCGAGTTGAACGTTACAACGGAGCCGAAATTCTCCAGAATCAAGTCTCTCTCATTTTCAAATTTCGATTTGGATTTTTCAAGTTGCAGGCAAGTCGGGCCACGAGTTTCAACGTCATTCTGTTTAGAAGATGTCATTTGTTTATTTTATAAAGAATGAAATAGTTTACAATTTATTTATTTATTTATTGAAAAACGAGAAAATTTATAACGTATTGTTATAAATTTTCTCAATTATAAATGTTATAATTATGAAATGAAAGAAATAATAAAAATGATTGAAACCATAATTTTCAAGCAAGTTTCGGTGAAAGCTTCGAACTCTTTATTATAAATGCACTTCTCATCTCTCAAAGACTCAATCTCCTGAAATAATTAATTATTTTTAATTATTTTCCTGAATTAATTAATTAATTATTACTTAATTATTTTTAATCATTTTATAATTCATTCATCGTAAAATCCACTTCTAATTTTTAAAATTCAATAATCTACAAACTCTGCAAATGCTCTCAACGACGGCTTCCAAACTACTGAAACAGTCGACGTCTACGTCGTCAGCAGTGACGTCATTTCCGTTTTTACTCTTGTAATTCAGTAAATTCGCGGTAACTTTTCGCACCTGTCCGAGATTTTAAATTTTAAAGATTAGAAAAAGCGATTGAAGTAAAAAAAATTAAGAGTGAATAAATAAAACTTATAACCGTCTCTCTGAAATGGTTCAGTTCTGTCTGTTGAGAGTTTACAGCTGCAACCAGCCGACTGCCTTCACTTCGCAGATCATCCAAAATCTTAAATGTATTTTTTTTACAATTCATATTATTTAATATTTTCATATCTAATATCTTAATATTTAATATTCTTTCTAGTAATTCTCAAAGATTTCAACAGCAAGCACGCAAATCAACGCATCTCTCAAATTGCGGGTGTCACTACAACAGCAAGGTCATACATCTCAACAATTAAAACCATCTCGACCGTCTCGAAATGAGTATTTCACGTTGTAATGAATGGATTACCGATTCCAGCTTTCCAATTTTATCACTCAATTCGGAATTCATTGCATTTGTGGCCTCGCATTCTTGTAGCAACTGAATATTTTTCTGAGTGAATAGTGTAAAATTTACAATATGAAAAATAACTAACGAAAGTATAAAATTACTTTTAAAATCTAATTTAATTTTAAATTACAAAAATATATTTGCCGAATTCAAAATTTTTTAAGTAAAAAAAATTATTCCATAATCCAAATTTTTTTTTACATTTCCAAATCCTTCTTACCGATTCCAAAACTTTGATCTCCCCGACCATTTCAACGTTCTTCTCTTTCATAAGATCATATTCTTGTAGCAGTTCCATGTTTTTCTTGTATTTTTTGCAAATAATTAATACATTAAAATCAAATTAAATTGAAATAATACATTTCAAATTTTATCGAGACAGATATTTTAAAATGATACTGAAAATGATAATAAAATAGATACTGTATCAAGAAATGAGATATCCTTTTCAAGATTATCAACTAAGTTATCGTTCACGACCGACTGATTTTTCTAAATGGGATTTTTTACGGTAAACATTTTCGTAATATCATCATTATGTATATATATATTCCTCTCTGTTTCTCTGTCTCTCTCTGTTTCTATCTCTCTCTCTCTCACACACACACACACACACACACACACACACACGCGCGCGCGCGCGCATGCAGTGACCAACCTGCTGACTCAAACGGTCACTCAAAATTTGGATTTCATCTCGACATTTTGTCAGTTCTTTGGTCAAATTTTCATTTTCTTGCTTCAAGTTTAGAATTTCTTTATTGTCATCTACCCTGTAGGTTAAATGGCTGGCCTCGACCGCTCTTAATCTGGTTACCTATGAATGGAGATTGTGATTATTTACTGTAGAATCTTTACTTTATATTCTTTATCCAAGTTTAATAAAATGACTAAATAAATTAATTCACTTGTTAATTAAGCAATTAATTGCATAATCAATTAACATTAATAATTTAACATGAGAGGATTTAATTATAGATTTTGTAACCGGTAAAATGATAGTTAAAATATAAAATCTATGTAACAAAATAATGATCATGAAAATATTAAAATTAAAAACGTTGATGCAAAATAACTTCAAAAATTTGTGAAAAAATCTTGAATCGAATAAATATTTAAAACATGAAATCATACAATAATTTAATTATTCAATAAATAGGTAATTAGACAGAAAAACAAAAAAAATCTTACTTCATTCTTTAAAAAATGAACCTCCTCGTATTTGACACCTAGTAGAGTTTCTAACTTTTTTAACTTATTTGACAGCTCATCTAGAAGGCTGTCCTCTTTGGTTGAAATTTTAATTGGACTGTTGTTGTGGTTATATGTGTTGTTGTTGCTACTGTTTTTGTTGTTGTTGTTGCTACTGTTGTTGTTGTTGTGTGTAACAATTTCGTTGTTTAAAAAGGCTTCATTGCTGGGTTTCTTGTTGCGTTCGTTCATGTTGGCGCCATTGAAATCAGCAAAAAACTGTGACAATTCATCAGCTCTTGTGGTTTTCATGAAGTTTATTGTCTGGGTTTGATTCTAATGTAAGCAAAGGTTCAATTGCTTACGATACGGTTACGAAATTTT